CCACGGCCACGCGATATGAAGCCACGTAGCCGATTGTTCACATTTATAAGCAAATTCCCGGTCAAACCCAGGGAAAATGTATATTCGGACTTTAATACTAGACAATTGGATATGAAAATACTAGTCGCAGTGGATGTTTGAAAGTCAGAATTTCTAGATGCATATATATGCTATTTATAGCCATGAAATTTATAATTTAGATTTTATTTTTATTATTTGTCTCTTTAATATTCATTATTGAAAATAAGGGTAAAGGTTATCTATATAGTAATAAATAAAATTTGGCACATAGGTTCCTTAAGTGATGTAAATGAGCACTAAGAAGGGATTTTTTGAAAATTCGACCGCAAGGGGGTGAAATTAGGGATGAAAAGCTGCATAAAAATTTGTTAAAATCTGGTTTAAGAGTATGAAATTTTTCACGAGTGCTCCTTGACTGACGTAATTGAACACTAAGGGGCAATTTTTGGAAATTCGCTCGTTAAGGGGGTGTGCCTTAAGTAGCGTACTTAACAGTTCGATTATACAAAGCGATTTTAGGAAATTCTTCTAAGGGGTGAAACTGGGGGTGAAATTTTGCATACTTTTTTAAAATTAGTCCGAGGAGTTTGAAATTTGGAAATTGTTAATTAAATGACGAAAGTGAGTACTCAGAAGCGAATTTTGGACATTCATCCCCTAAGAAATAAGGGATGAAAATTGGTATAAAAATTTGTTAAAATCGGTTTTAGAAGTATGAAATTTTGCGTAGACGTTCCTTATGTTATTTTGCTGTGTAACACCAAAGGTTCCAACCCTCAACTGTAATTCCTTATGTAACTTAATTTAGCACTAAGAGGCAATTTTAGGAAATTTTCCCTCTAAGGGGGTGAAATGAAGGGTGAACGTTCTGAAAAAAAATCTGTCCTAGAAGTATGAAAATTTGCACAGAGGTTCATCATGTGATGAAAGTTATACTCAGAAGCGAATTTTAGGCATTCATCCCTTTAAGAAATAAGGGATGAAAATATGTACAAAAATTTGTTAAAATCGGTTTGGAAGTATAAAATTGTTCGCAGACGTTCCTTATATAAGGTAATTTAGCACTAAGAAGCAATTTTCGAAATTTTCCCTCTAAGGGGGTGAAATGAGGGCGAACTTTCTGAAAAAAAAATCTGTCCTAGAAGTATGAAAATTTGCACAGAGGTTCCTCAAGTGATGAAAGTGAGTACTCAGAAGCGAATTTTAGGCATTCGCCCCATAAGAATTAAGGGATGAAAATTTGTACAAAAATTCATTAAAATCGGTTTTGGAAGTATGAAATTTTGCGCAGACGTTCCTTATGTAACGTAATTTAGCACTCAGGAACAATTTTTGGAAATTCGCCCTCTAACGGGGTGAAATGAGGTGTGGACGTTCTGAAAAAAAATTGCTTGTTATTACTAAATTACGTTACATAAGGAACAAACAGAATTTCATACTTCTAAACCCGATTTTAACAAATGTTTGTACAAATTTTCATCCCTTATTTCACTCTCTTAAGAGATGAATGTCCAAAATCCACCTGTACAAAATTCCACACTCGTAGGACTGTTAGTTTTAACTAACAATTTATTAAAGTGCAACTATATAAAAATTATACAGGGTGGCGCCTCTCATATGACTCGGAGGCTCCAAGGAGAACGACCAATTCGTATTGAAATGAAATTTTGTGATCATATGTAAGTTAATTCTGCGTACGTTTTAAAAATATAGAGAGTTCTACAGGGTGTCCCCAAAAAAAGTTACACATCAAATTTGTATTTTTTTGTAAGGGAATACCCCCTTTATTAATTAATTTTTAGATTCTAAGAGAAAAATAAAGGTGTGTTTTATTAGGGAAGTATATGACTGAAATGTAAGGTTTTAGACTTACTTAAGATTTTGAAGAACAATTTTTAAATTTCAAGAAAAACTACCTAAATTGGAATTTACTCTATTGCACTTTAATCAAATTAAAACCTGACCCATAAAGTTATACAGGGTGGGGCAAAATTAATGTTGAACATTGGTATAACCTGTATAACTCCTTTAATACCCACCCTGTATAAATCCTTTAGTTTAATTGAATCACCCAGAATATTATTCCGATATTCAATGGGAAATTCATGTCACTTCCAAATACTATTAAGGTTGCCGGCCTACCCCTCAAACAAAGATTTTCCTAGATATTTTCATTTCTATGATTTAGTGTGAATAGATCTTTATTATTTGATAAAATCTAGGGTGGCTGTGATATGTCTGACGTTACTTCAACATAGCTGTCAAATTAGTTCAACTTTAGCAACTAGTTATCATTTTGTGTCAGTTCGTCAGTTGAAACAAAAAAAAATCTTCCGAAGAAATTTTCCGAAAATAGACACTTATCCTACATCAGAGAGAATTGATATGATTCTATTAGTTAGCTCCTGATTTTATCTAGTCTGGGCTTTTTTATTTGATTAACATATATCAAATAAAAAAGCCCAGACTAGACAGTGTTAACAAAACTCGACCAAACCAAACCAAACTATTGTCTGAAACTGCATTTTTTTACTTACTAAATATGAATTTTACTTTGTTTTGTTGATCTTTGAAAGGTGTATAAAGTCGAATCATTTTAGATTGGACATTTAAATTTTATGGGATTTTCGGGATCCCGGAATTTAATATCGGGATTTCGGAGATAAACATACACGCCGCCGGGATCCTGGGAGTTCGGGATTTCAGGAAACTCTAGTCGTGAGATTAATGATGTACAGATGCATGTCATGTTGATTTGGAAGTGACAATCGATAAGATTTATCATATAATTTTACATACCTATTAAACGACAGCGATCTTCATTTCCAAGCCCACTCCCATGCCTTTTTTTTCTATCGTACGGTATATTCACTAACTGCATTACCTACTTATAATTTATAACAGTTTATATTCACTGATTCATTTATAATTTGTATCCACTTAATATTACTTGATTTATCCATCGTAAACTTTGCATAGATATAGAAATATAACGATGGACAACTCTTAATGTGTTAAATTATACCCTACGATCGAAAAAAAAACGGCGTCCGATTGGTTTGGAAATGACGATCGATGACATTCCCCATATAATTTTACATATCAAATGACAGCGATCTTCATTTCATAGCCATCGCTGACGCCGTTTTTTTTTCGATCATACGGTATATGGTAAAAGCCATCGATCACCATTTCTAAGGTAACTTAACGCCGTATTTTTACATACAAAATGTGCAAAAAAATTCTATATGAATGAACTCGACGACATATCTAAATCTTCTATCTTTGTCGCATATGGTTCGTTCCTGTATTATTCTGTGATAAGGGAAGGAATAGAGATTTTCTGTGATAAGTGGTAAAGCTAGGTTTTCATATGTACAAATTTGGCAAACTTTCCAGGAAATTCGGTCATATTTTTATTATAAAATTATTTATCATAAACAAATTTATTGTAAAAAAAAATTTTGAACGTATATTCAAATTTTAAACGTTTCAATTAATAAATAACGTAAATCACTTTTAAATTAAATTTAAGAAAAAAAAATCAAAATTAATAAAACGTAAATCACTATAACAAATCATTATTTTAATTTCAAATTTATATTTCGAAGTTATATTACAAGTTATTTACTGTTGTCTTATACAGAGTATATCAAGACAAATGCGAAACTTTAAGGGGTGTATTCTTTGTTATTTGTCAACATTTTTAAAATAAGCTGAAGAGGTTGAAATAAACTATTTCTAATATTCGTTAATTTGACAAAAAACTGGAGCAACGGTATGGAAAAAATGGTTAGATTTGTATATTTAGAACGTTTTTATGACTTGCAATTTTTCCATTAAATTCATTATTTGAAGTTAAAAATAAAATGTAAATCATTATGTATTGGGACCAAAAAAATATTTTAGCAAAGAAGCTGTTCGCCTTAAAAACAGTTTTATTTTCTACTACTGTAAAATATTTTTACAAACGACATATAAAGATAATTGATTGACAAACATGTTTTAAGCTACCCTTCCTAAATCTTCCTTAAAATAAAAAGATTAACAGATGGGAATACATATTATACCGTATGATCAAAAAAAAACGGCGTCCAGTTGGCTGGGAAATGGCAATCGATGACATTTCCCATATAAATTTACATTTAAAATGACAGCGATCTTCATTTCATAGCCATCGCTGACGCCGTTTTTTCGATCATATGGTATATCAATAAAGTATTATTAGAAAAGCTCACTAGATTGTTTTCTAGTAAAAAAGACCTTATTTTGTCACAACAGGTGACATTTTTTTGTTTTAAATCAAGTAGGTTTTAAAAAAACTACAATAGGTAAAAAAGTTTCTAAACAAATAGAATATCCAAATTAATTTATTTCCAATGACAATAATGTGTAAGTTTGTAATTAAAGTTAGTTAATAAGAATAATAGGTGTAGTATATTTCAACATCATTCACTGGTTTTAAAAACATCAAAAAATATGCATGTGTTTTCATAGTATAAATATGAATTGTTCCTTACGTTAGTTCTTATTGATATAAAAGCAAAAAAGTATAAAAATTAAAAGCTGCAATTTTATTAAAAATATGTTATTCTAACACATATTTTTTTAACTGTAATGTTCTAAATTGATCAAAATATAAATGTTATTTTTTTCCTAGGAAAAATAAAACTTCATAACTTACTTTTTATAAATAAATTTATTTCTATTAAATTTTATAGAGCAATTTGTATTACAGTTTTATTTCACATATTTTGTAATACTGCTTCGGTGCAGTGCCCCATTGCTATCTGTGAGTTCATTTAAATTATGACGACATTACTGATCTAGAAAATAAAAATGTACCTACTTAAGTACCTTAATATTATAATCAAAAATGGCTACTTTTGTAAATTATTGCCTATAATGGTTAGATGAGTTATGAATGTAAACTTCTTTATGCTGGTTTCTTGAAGTTAGGTGATATTAATTATCTTCGCATCATCATGGGCTCTAATCAACTGTAGAGTATTCGTCAATCAACCTGAAATATGTAATATTATTTACTTTATATTTACGAAAAATTATCATTTTCTTTTTTATGAAAATTTTGAGTTTAAATTTAAATGTGATTAGAATAAATATACATCAGTATTTAACTTTTTATCATAGGTATATTCTATATATTACCTGTGATTTTAGGGCTAAAATGTTTAGTTTTGTGAAAATATTACTTACCTATAATATTTAAACGAGTTCCTGAATGTACAATTTGTTTATCACGATGTCAAGTTCTAAAATCTTGTATTGGTTGTCTAAAACTGTTTGATTTTGCTTAGTTATATTGTATCCTATATTTTATTAAACAAACTCAAAATAATGTTTATAATTACCTTCATCAGCCTTCATATCATTAAAGTTATTATTATCACTTATCATTATCAGTCATTATGTAGTTATTTGTTCATTTCTTGCTCTGTTTGTTGTTGTTTGTTTTCAAAGATCATTTTTGAGGTTAATGTCATATGAAACTTTTCGCAATTAGGGAACTGGTAAATGACGTGTGACGATAGATTAATAAAATAATAATGAACGTATTAAGTTAAATATTTATATATTAATTTAACATATCTATTTCATGTTTATAAATTACATAATCTTTTAATTTTGTATACCTTTAATTTTATATATTCATAATGAAATGAAATATATTCGATATAACGTTTGGCAACCACGCAACTGAAGTGCAAGCGACATCTGTGCAAGAGAAGCAAAACCTCCCAAAAAAGTGAGAAAAGAAATCTAAAAATTTCAGATTATTCAAACGTCACTCCAATATTTTTCCAAATTGGAGTGAAATTAGGGTGACAATTTTTAACACGTAAGGAGCCATCTGGATTATGTGTTATCTGTGCTTGTAGGTTTAATCCACGCTCTATTGTGTTTAAGTTTTATTACACATTATACTATTAATTTTAAAAAACGGTGCTCTTGGTAATGATTATAGTCGAACGGATTATTGTTGGTTTTGGGAGAATTTTAATCTCTGTTGGTTTTGGGAGAATTTTAATCTCATTGAGTGGCAATCTTCAAATGATACTTCAACAGTAATGTCTGCTTCGCTTTCTTCTTTCTCATCTTCTTGCGGAATATCTGGAAATCCATCTATGACAGATGCATCAGTTGTCTCCTCATCAAAATCCTTATCTGTATTTAAGTCAATATTGGAGCAAGACTGACTTTGACAATTAGTACATATTGGTGTACAAAACAATCCGACTCTTTTACAACCACAGTTTGCGCTACAACCCTTTTTGCAATTGCAAAAAATTGTGTTAAGTAGTTTTTCTGGAGCAGCTGGAAGTAAAGTATCAATCGGCTCCAAAGTATGATCTATAAATTTCCAACCCCAGTGTCTTCTGGGTCCAATTGATTGCCTAGCCACAGTTGAACTTGATAGTGTACACGATATAAGTGTTGACAGGCAGAAGCAGATGTTGGAGGAAGACAAGAAAGTTGTACCATTTCATTGTTCCAAATATTTTTAACAAAATTTAAATATTTATACTATATACTTTTGTCTATAGAATCAAATTTTTTTGGAGCACCATAATATATAGCAAGAAGCAAGCGAATTCCACTTGTGATGATGACTTGTGGAGAAGAGTCAATTTTTTGAATACGTCTGCGCAATCAATTAAATCATTGATGTATATATTATATTATTTATACTTTATTATGTATATATTTATTCTATGATGTATACCGGCCCGAGTATGTGTGCATATTAGTATTTTCGATGTTTGAAATCGCCATATCTCAGGAATGGTGGTTCGTAAGAAGAAAGTATAAGAACCATTATTGTAGAAAATTTAATGGTCTACAACATTTGTTTAAGGTACTTTTGCGATAGCGCTTACCGTTTAGGAGGAAAAAAGCAAAAAAACATATTTTTGACCTTTGACCTTAAATAACTTTTCTACCAGACGTGGGAGCGGTAGGGACTTTTCAGATACCATTTATAGTGTATTTAAGACTTGTACCAATTTTCAGTTCTATGCGAATTATTGTTATTTAACCGCTTCTTTTTGTTTATTTTGACTGGGGTAAATATCTATAATCTTGACTTGTAATATGTATAAATTAAACTTGTCATTTAAGACTGCCACGTCAAACTTAAACAAATTCACGTTTTTAAATCACTGACATTTGAAATCACGGTTATAGCTATGGAACATATAAAATGGTAGTATGGAAGGCGTCACTCTTTTAATCAGTGATATTAAAAAAATTGTGTGTGCACTATGTGTGCACATTTGAAGTGAAACTTCTTACTTCCATCTGTCTGTCCGTCTGAGGTCTCTATTCACGTGCCGAGTTTGGTTCCAATCGACCTGTAATTAAGAAAAATTCTGATGATTTCGTCCATTTAGAGGCATCTGTTCGAAACGTCGAGGGAGTCACCCTATAGCCCGTCTCCAATTATGCCAAAATCGACCCATATTTTTTTAAATATCAAATCCTTAGCCCATACTCATGAAGATGTAAGCGAAACGTCGTATCCAACTTTGCAGGGTGGGTCCGTGTGCACCGTCGCGTCGCTCACATAGCCTATCCATCAAATTTGGTTGCGATCAAACTACATCAACTTTTGATGTTTCTTAAGTCAAAATTAACTGTCACAGTGACACGTATCATACACGGCCAAGTTGGTCCAATCTATCGACATACCAAATTTCATTTAAATCGGAAGATTTTTTGATTTGATTCATTGATGATGGGATTTTGTAGTGCACAAAACGTCGGCAAAATATTATGAAAAGATTGAGTTCTTCGAGCCCCATCTACATTCCGAGTTTCAGTCCCCTAGCTTACATAGGGCCAGAGTTGCGACGCTCCATGATTGTTACATTTTTGTGACGCTAGCTCGTGTGTCGCGGCTTTTTATCCTTTCGCGCGTAAAAAAGTTTCATTTAAAAAATCTCGGTATTAGTTAACAGTCTGATTTAAAAATAATGGTATCTCTCATCTTCTACTAAGAATTAATCATCTGATCTGACTGAGGTCTACGCAGTCTTGGAAAACACCACAATTTTCCAAGCTGATCTGTATGCTATTGAAACCTGTGTGCAACTGCTGGTAGAACAGCAATACACCGGGAAAACAATAAGCATATTTTCGGATAGTCAAGCCGTGTTGAAAGCACTTGGAGCAACGAAAAGCACGTCTATAACGATTCTTCAATGTAATGCCGGGTCCAGATCAAGGCGACAAAAAGTAAACACGATTTTGGGACAAAAACAAGACAAACTTGCGACAAAAAATGGGTAATTCTGACAAGAGAAACTTGAGACCAATTGTCCACACCGCAAGGACAAAAGTACAACAAAGTCAAAAGTTCAGTTGTTGTGAATGAATTTTATCAACATGTGTGATTTCACTGCCCAAGTAGCATCTATCTGACTTCGAACTAAATCTGACCTGAAGCGACGTCAGACTTTGTGCAAATTTAGGTCGGGTGCTGGTGATACGACCGGCGACGTCGCTTTCCTATTAAAAGCGACGTCGTTGGATCCGAGTCGGTAAATCCAACGATCTGTCGACGTACAAAATAACAACGTACCATTTTATTAATTTCCCAACGTCGTTCCGTTGGCTTGCATTTTATCCATATACTTGAACTAGCCCGACGTCTACCCGTTGTCCGAATAGGATACGTCCCACTGATAATCCCTAAAGTAACGTCCAATTATATTTTGTTGTATTTTATGTTCATATTTATTACCTAATTTACGTATCTCTATTTACGTCCGTAAATACAACCCATTAAGTAGCATTTGCGACCTAATGAACATCATGAACATAACCTAATAAAAGTTTTTTTGTAAACAAACTTAATTTTTTATTATGCTTAAAAAACACCAAAAGGCATTTAGACATTCATCTACATTTTACAGAAAGAGGTCGAGGCTTTTGCAAAATAATAATAGTAGTAGTGATGTCTTGCCTCCACCCATAAATGCTTTTTATCGGGAAGAGATTCTGCATTACACTGGTGCATCTTAATTTCATTTTTTAGCTTAGGAAACCAGCAGACCCCATCCTCCTCCCACATGTGAGGTTAGGCTTAAAAAAGTGGCTGCCCATTTTTTTTAAGGACAAAACAAAAACTAAAATATAGTTGTACAAATCCACAAATCACTGATACGCAAAGTGAGGTTACGTGGCGTACGTTGGAATTATATACCTACGTCATAATACGATTGCCGGTCTTGGAGACCCGGTCGGAATTGGTATATTGGTAGTTCATATTAAGTCGGACACAGAAATCCGCCATTCTTAACAAGTATCCGATTGTCAGCCATTTTATAATCGTTTTTTGTTTTTAAAATTTATATTCACATTTCGATTTCTAGTAGAATAATATTGATAAGGTTGAGTTTGGGGGGAACTACAGTACAGTTTTATGATTAAACCAGCTAGAAAATTAAAAAAATATTTTGCGAGTTACTTTTTTAAAGACATTTTTATTTTATAAATCTACCTAATTTTGAAGGCGCTCGTTGTTTTCCGGAGTATTTTAATCAGATATATCAAAAAAGTGATTCCCATTGCCAAAACTGATGTCTGGATTAATGATTCAGAATTATTATAATATGAAATTAGATAGGCACTTATAGTTATAGTCGAGGAGTGATTATGAATCCATTTGTAATTAGGTAGTTTTAGATGTATTCTTGGTAGCGAATATGAAACCAAACGTAACGTAAGTGCTTAGCGACGAATTTTAAGTAACTAAAATCCAACGTAATGTGACGTTGGTAATTGGTAGAATTACATTCCCTATTAGGTCAGATACCGACGTCGAGGCGACCCGAATCTGTATTCCCCATTTAGGTGCAAATAAGGGTCGTCAGGCGGTCGAACCGACGTTGGTACCCGACGTCGGGTTTATTGAACGCGACGTATACCCGACGTTAGATAACGTCCAAATGCTACTTGGGTGGTCTCCTACTGTTGGCAGCACACGCCATCCACACTCCGCCGACAACTTGTCGTAAAATATACGAACAAAACATAGACAGTTCGATCTTTACCGACTCGAGACGATAAATTCTAACCTAACTAAACAAAAATGAGACAAAAATGTCGCAGAAATGTATTGGATTTGTCGCAATTTTGTCGTAAAACATGAATGTTTCTGTCATGTCGTTGTTTTGTCTGCTTGGTCTGGACCCGGCATAAGAAACTACTCAATACATTAGGACTCTTAGGAGATAGAAACAAAGTGTCGCTAATATGGATACCGGGAGATGTCGGCCTAGGGGGAAACGAACGTGCTGATTCCCTCGCCGAAACTGGTGCAGGTTCACCATTCGTGGGCCCAGAACCGACACTTAGCGTTCCAAAAAATCTCGCAAGAGACAGGCTCTGTGAATGAGTTAGGGGTGCGGCCCGGCGCGGCGCGCGACGTTTCAGGATTGG